CGAAATAATGGATTTCTATAATTGTGAAGATATTAGAATAGCAAAAAAAATACTTACCAGCGATCTAGATGCATTAAATCTAGAAAAAGATGATAAAATAAAGCCAAACAGTTCTTGAAATTCTAAAAGGGACAAGGTTAGTTATTTAATACTAACAATAAAAACTATTCTGAGCAACAAAATTGAGAGCAAATTGCCTCAGTATGCTGCTCTCAACCTTTTTAAAATTCCAAGCTCAAAAAAAGCTAAATTTGAGTCAATTCTTGACGAAAAGTTAAAAAAATTAAAAGAACTATTCATTGAAGAAAGAAACATCTTCCGAGAAATAGTAAATAATGCGGCTATTAACAATAGCCCAAAAGTAGAAAGAAAGCAGCAATCTGATTGCAAGACCGAATCGAGCAAGCAATCTGACTGGTCAGAGATTGTAAAACGTAAAATTAAAAAGAGCTCAAATGTTCAACACGTGGCGAATGTTCAACACGTGGCGAACATCAACATGTTGAAAACAAAGAAAAAAACACACAACACTAACATAGCAAATATGAAAACAGTTATAGGCACCCAAACTGATAAACAAACAAATTTGAAAGCGATGAAACCTTCGCCAAAAAGAAAAGTTTTTTACGTTGGTCGATTGGACCAACAATGCACTGCAAAAGAGTTAAGCGAACACATAAATGAATTGAAAATTGAGGTGCTTGGTTGCTCAGCAATCAAAAACTCAATTTTTAATCGCCGCTCAAAGCAAGCTACAACATCGATCAACACACAAAACACGAACTCTGACAAAATCGATATTCAACAGACAAGCGCTGAATTCAGAGTTTGTATTTATGAAACAGACTCAGCTGAGTTCATGAATGCAGAAAACTGGCCAGACCAAATCATCGTCCGCGAATGGTGTTTCAATGATCTGTCGGCAAATGTTGTCAATGACCTGTCGGCAAATGTTGTTTCAACTAAAAATAGCAATGAATAAAAACTTCATAGAAGAGAATCTCGAAGAATCAAAATATTACACTGTAAAAGAATTATCTAACATAATAAAATTGAAGAATAAAATGAAAAACAATCACCTATCAATCATTCATCTGAATGCTCAAAGTTTGTTTCATAAATTATTAAATCTAGAAATCATTAAATCTAGAAATCTTCTTAAAACAATTCGACGACTTTTTCAAAATTATAGTAATATCAGAAACGTGGTTGAACAATGAAACAGTTGATTTAATTAAGTTAAATAATTACAATTTTGTATATAAAAATAGAAAAAGCAAACGAGGCGGAGGTGTTGGTGTGTTCATAAAGCATGACATCAAATATGTTGTAAATGATAACAGTGCATTTGATGATGAAAATGTCGACGTTCTCTGTGTGGACATTGAATCGGGGCATGCTTCATCTAGGGGTGTGCTAAAAGTTATCGCGATATACCGCCCACCCAATTATAAATTTGAGCCTTTTTTAAATAAAATCAATTTGATTTTACACGCCATCAAACCCGC